TAATTATATTTTTACTTCTCATATCAGATCCATTTTTAATCATAATCCGAAAATTATTATAAGTATATTATATTTGATTATTATAAGTAATATAAATTCGAGGTAACGATTACATAATTATCAAAATTCAAGTTTCCAAATTTAAACTGTATACTTTTAAAAAATACAAAATAATTTAAATTCACTAATTTGATTATATGAGTTTATTTTTCGAACTAGATTAAATATATGATATTATTTTATCATAGTGATTGTAATTTATACATCGTATTTATTTATGAAAAATTTTAATGAAAATCAACATTTCAATTACAATATTTTTTAAAATTTTAATAATATAATAATAACATTTTGTGTCGTCGCAAAATCATTTAAAAATATGTTTGCAATATTTTATAAATATTGGATAAATGCTGGCTAATAATTTCTTATCATTTATGCAAAAATATTGGATCGGGATTTAAAATTCCCAAAAATATTATTATGTTTCGAAATTATTAGGATCCCTGAAAATTTTCCATGATAATAATGACGGAATTGTTCTTTTAATTTTGTTGTTGTAGAATATGATCCCAAAATATTTGCCTCCTTAAAATTCTAGAGAATCCCGAAATTTTCTAGAAAACTATAGAAATCGATCCGATTCGAACCAACTATGTCCCAAATTTCAAATATTCTTAATATTCTTAATTTTCGAATATTCTTAAGAGTTATTCTCGAGAGTAATTCTAGAAAGAGTAACTTTTTTTTTTGAATAAGAGCAAATTTCGATTCGATTTCTTTTCTCGATCCTCATCCTGAGACTCCGATATTTTTGGCTTCTTGGCTACAATTTTAATCATTTCTTCAATATAATACACATGTTCTATTTAATACACACACACGCACATACACACACATTTCCGTAATGATATGGTCTCTCCTACCATTAATCGCATTTTCGAAAATCAGAACGATAAAATTATATTAAAACTCATCTTGTTAAAATTCAATAAAATTGATAAAAAGAATAAATTATATTATATAATTATATATTATATATTATATAATATATAATATAATATATAAATTATATTATATAATAGAATAAATTAAAACGGAAATTAAAATTTATATTCTTATATTGTAACATTTATAGTTTTTTAAGAGCATGAATTTAAATAATTCTTTGTTATTCTTTTTATCTGTATTACGAATAAATTGTCATGCTCGAAACGATTTAATACTCGTTGTTCAAGTACTTATATATCGGCAAAGATTCAAACACGATTATTTAATTTAAACGTGATTATTATAATACACAAAGAACAAATAAAGAGAAATAGAAAAAAAAAAGAAGAAAGAAGAAAAACAAACGAAATAGAATAGTTGATTATAAATGGAGAAAATCGAGTACGAATTGCCCTTGACGCGGATGAGAAACAGTTTGTATCTTTCTAACGAGCCCGCGTAATCGCGCAATGCAGCTAATTATCGGTATTAATGCTGGCAAGAATCATGAATATTTATACTTGACATATTTATCGGCAAACAACGGAAAATTAGAATCATTATACGCGGACTTCTTTTTTCATCTCGCTCATCTTTATCCTTGAATTGTGATATTTGTGTCATGATGAAGAAAAAAAATAATTAAAATTTCTACTTTCAATTTTGTTCAATTGTTTGATTTGTAATAATCATCGATTTGAAAAAATGATAATTAATCGATCAACAAAAGAAGATGAAAAAAGAAAATGAAAAGTTTCTTCTTTAATAATCCTTGAATAAAACTGGCATATACTTACATAAACTTATTGTACTTTAATGAGTACAATAGCATTCCTTTAAATTCCATGTTTCATTCAAATTAAAATAATCCAAACTTATTATTATATCATCATTCAATATTTCGAATTCCATCTAAAATTGATAAAACAATGTGGATGATATAACGAAAGTAAAAAAAAAGTATAAGAGACTTTATTTTCGAAAAGATGACATGTAAAATATTTAATTTCCTAAACTTGAATTTTTATAATAATAATTTTATAATAATAATTTCTAAAAATGATATCAATATATTTCTGAGATTCTTTCCATAAAAATTAATCTAAACGAATGTTTTTATTCAATATCTGATTAATTTAAATATTCTAGATGAATGTATCAAATTTTCATTATAATATCATATTATGTTTGGATTAATTTCCAGCAGAAAAGCCTTACCGATTTATTGATAAATATTTCATTAATCATTATTTCTAGGAAGATGAAAATTATAGAAATTTAAATTTTTCAAAATTGTTAAATATATTATATTATATATATATATATATATATATATATATATATATATAAAATAGAAATTCTACGCTATATTAAAAAAGAATTACTTGCAATTATTAAAAATAAAAACTAATTTTAATAGATATACATGTATACGTCTTTATAAGATATATATATATATATATATATATATATATATGTATATATATAATTATTTTATTATAATTATATATAATTATATATAATTATTTTATTAAAAATGTGCTAATTTTTAACAATAATTAATTGATTGATTGAAAGTAATATTGGTTGTTCATTAAAGTTTGCATTTTTTGCAAAAATTGAAGAAATTAAGATTTATTTTCTCTAAATCTGACAACAATAAAGTTTTTCTAAATTATTATTTAAAATATATTATAATTATAATTAAAATATAATCGATATATGATATGTATCCTCCTCTTAATGTAGTATCTTATACATCTTAATGTACTATCTTAAACATCTTATGATATTAAATCCTTAATATCAAATTATTCATTTTCAAAAAATTCGTTTCATAATTTTATTCAATAAAGCATGCTAGAGTAAATCGTAACTAGTTGTAAATATGAGAAGATCGTGAACACAAATAAAAAAGAAATACTATTTCTTTTTTACTATATTCGGCTGTGAAAAATTACAAATTCATAAATGAATGAACTTTAAATCCTGTTGGAAATTTTTTCTAATTTTCATAAAAAAACAAATTTTAATATATTATATTTTAATATAATATAGTTAAATGATTCAACGTATACATATTTTTTTACATTGAAAAATTAATTTTACAAAATTGATAATTGTGAATGTGTGAATTTTATGTGAATTTTTACAAACTCTCTTTCCAAATTTCTCTTTCCAAAAATCAAAAATCAAATATTGGCTGCATTACAAATTTTTTAACAGTTTATCATTCGTTGATTTCAAAAATTTTATTTTAATAAAAACAAATTCATTTTGTAACTAAAATTAAAAAAGAAATGCATAAAATATGATTAAATTTTTTTTTTAATTTTTATATCATCGATTTTTTTTTACATCAAAAATTTGTTTATAATTTTCAAATTTGTAAAATTAGTTTTCAATCTAAAATAATGATAAATATTATATGAATATTTTTAAATCTCTTATATTCAAAATAAAAAAAAAAGAAAAAAAATGCAATTTAATTCGATAAATGAATTTTGAAATAAAAATATTTTCAAAACATAAATATAAATTTCGATTCATTTTAAAAGTAGCAAAAATTATAAATTTCAAATCTATATTGTTAAAAAATTCTCAATTCAAATTCAAAATTAGCAAGATAAATTAATTTTCCTATCAATTTTATATAGTCTATATTATATCAATTTGAAAAAAATCTTGATGAAATTTTTGAAAAAAATCAAAATTAAAAAGTAATCAATTTTGACAGGAAATGATTTATTTCTTTATTTAAATTCAAAATGATAGAATACATACAGCTACTAAATATTCGGTTCATTTGTTGCGAAATTTAGCAAAATGTATTGTTGCGCGCGATAATCATCAAGCGTCATTTAGAAAATCATATGAGCTCTACAACCCCCGATTCCATGATAATCAAATAAAATTTAAATTCAATATCACGCGCCATAAAATCTAACAACTCTGATTCCAACTCGTGTTGTATCGTCTTATCTTAGTGAATCAATATAAAGTCACCATCACCGGTTTCGTATTCTTGCTTGTTTTTTATTTCCTTCTTCTAAAACTTCTTATTCTTTTTTTTGTGTTGAAACTTTTCTAAAAACTTTTCAGTCGAGTTTATCCATGGAACATTTTTTGAAAGATTTTTTTATGCAAATAGCAGGTACTTTGAATTTTGATGAATTACGATTAAATTTCATATTATTCCGATCAATCGACATTATTTAAATATATATATATATAATAATTTAATAATATATAGATTATATTAAATATTAATAATATATAAATAATAATTTCCAAATAACTTATAAGAATTAACAATAAATACACTATGTATTCTTCGTATACTCGTAAAATACAAAATCATAAAACAGATTCATTTTATTGTCATAAATTTTGTTCATTTCTAATTGTCATTGCTAACAAAATAAAATCTCAATAAAATCAAGTAATTAATGTATCTAATTTTTTAATATAACTGCTATTTATAATATGAATATTTATAATATATAAAAGAAATATTATTAAGTATGTAAATGAAATATAAAAATAAGGAAATAATTTAAAAATATAATATTTTGACTATTGTAGCATTGTACAATGAAAAAGAATATTACGTATAGTACTTGTACTTCTTAAGAGATGGATCAAGTCGAACGAGCGAATGAGCAAAACGTGTACAAACAGTCGATTAAGAGATGGGGGAAGGGAGAGGAGAAAGAAAGAAAATAGGAGGGAGGATAAGAATAAAAGCGAACAATAAAAGAGAGCAAGAGAATCAAGCAACGTGCAAACGTGTTGCGTTGGATAGAAAAGAGAAGGTAGAAAACACGCACAAAGTGAGAGGAAGCCGATTGAAAGCGAAAGCGGAAGCAAGAAAGAGAAAAAGGTAAAGAGTAAGAGTGAAGCATGGGAGAGAAGACAAAGCAGCGAGAGAAAGAGGAAAAGAATTTGGCAAACGATATAATATGCACCACAAAGAACTCAAGAGCACAGAAATGAATGGTTGAAATTAC